GTTAGGATGAATTCAAAACAAATCTAAAGCATGCATGATAGATATTGTTCATCTGTGATAATGGATGAACCCCAGATTTCTGTTCAACTCTGAATCTTTCACTCATGCGTCAAAGTTTCTTCTTCAGAGACGATAAAAGCAAAGGAAATTAACATTCGGAAAGAGATGCACCCCTGACAATAGGTTATTATTTGTGCCTGATTATGTATCCTGTAGTCAGCCTCTGCTACATCAAAACACACGCAGACACACACACACAAACACAGGATTAGAACAAAAGGCGAGTCCCGCGGCACAGATTTGCGCAGGGAACATAATAGCTGATGACATGCGGCAGTTTGGAGGCTTTCAAAGCGACGCGGCTAATCTTCCTGCACTGGAATAACATTATTTTCTCCGCTTCCTCCTCCTCACCGCCCGCCCGCCCACCGGGGAGGCACAGGTTATTGTGTCCAAACGCACCCGAAGGTTAACCCACACAATGAATGGGCAGCAGTGAGCCACGCAGCCGGCTGATCGGGCTGCCTGGCTGATAGATTGTGATGAGGCAGGTGATCGTTTAGAATGGGGTTCAAACACAACAAAGAGACATTTCAGATTGTAGCGCCTTCACGCTGAACAATAAAGCAAAGAGGCTAGACTGCAAAGGAGATAAAAACAAAAAAGTGAGGGGGGGCGGAGGGAGAAACAGAAGGGGACTGGAAAAAGTGTTTTGGTGTCAATCCAGGTTTATATTGTGTGTTTAACAAAGAAACGTCTGTTCTTTGACCTCAAAGTGAGGACAGCCATGAAAAACAAAAATGATCCAGAACAATGGAGAGAAACCCCAAAGCAAAACATCTAAATCTCAAATTTTACTAGAAAGTGCTTTGTCTCTTACCACTAAATATGTCGATCTGACATTTTCCTAAAACAAAACTGCCTATTGAATTAGCTATAAGGCTTAAATTAAATTAAATTCAGAAATGAATTTGCTTTTCATCTGAGCAACCAAATTCAGTAAAAAGAGGAAATGGGATTATAAGATCTATAGTCATAAATTATTGAGTTCATCTATTGCTTTTCATGTGTTCTGGCCATAAAAACGTTTCCAATGCTATAGCAAACACTGGGCAAAAAAATAAATACTGGAACAATTAATGCCCAATTTTCAACAGGTCCAAATGATTGAAGTAGCATTCAGGCCAACATAGAAGAACTCACTGCAGTTACTGTAATGATCTACTCTGGTTCTGATCAATAAAACATCGAGATGGTAAGAATGAGAGGCAATAACCTAACATTAATAAGGTAAATTAGACGACATAGTTACTAAAGATTTGCTGCTCACAGGCAGAAACTTAACATGAATAGTCATCTAAAAACAAAAAAGTCCTTCAAAGTTGCTGTTTTATTCTATTGAGCCATTTGTCTAGGCTTTAAAACAAGCTGAATTTAATTTATTTTGTGATTTCCAGGCACATAAAGTGAATATGTTGCCTCCAGTTATGAAAATGTATAGACCAAAAACAACTTAAAAGAAACAATCGTGAATTATACCCATATCTGACACCATGATATTGGTTGTTTACAACCTAAGTTCACCAGGTGTTTGTTAATTGCTGCTGCCGCTAGTCTGGAGGAGCAGTGTGGAGGAGGCTCTGTGAAACGGATGCTGGGTTGGGACTGAAACTCCAGTGAGGAGATTTAGGGAAACGGTATGAGCACCGAATGGCTGAAACTGGAGAGCCCAGGTTTTCTCAAACACAAATGAATAAATCAGTGGGAATGTGCTTGATCAGGGAACCACATCATGAAAAGGTATAGAGCTCAAGAAAGTCAATTTTGATTAACATCCCCCCTTTAAATCTTTAAATAGCACAGTTCCTCAGAAAAAATAAAAATCAGTCAAGGCTTTACAAAACACTGCGACTGAAAAAACTATTATGGAATGAGGAAGTATAGAAGTAACAAACAATCCTCAACATTTTTGGAAGATTACAAAGATTAATATTTATCATCAGTAATCATCAGCACATTACTTTCTAAAAACTGAAGCGTTTCCTCCTCTACAGACATTAACAACCACACAGTGCAACTCAGAGGCTTATTGACCAGAATCACAACAAATAGGTCAAAAAAAACAAACATGATCAGCTTTATTGTTGCTTATCTTTAAGACGACTCGCAGCTGCAATCCCATCACTGCTGTGTGGCGAATAAGTCTGTGTTCAGAGGACAGGAAAGAAGCCAAGCTATCTCTGAAATGAGCCCATCAGATACCATGTTCATGGCTGCAGGACCCAATGTAGTGCCATCATTTGTTATCATAGCTTACAGGCTTGTCCCTGGGAGGCATTAGTGGTTATTGGCCATAAATCCAGTTTTGCTTTTGTCATAGCATTTGTATTTTCTAGGAGAATTGCATAAACTGTTTTTTTTTATTATTATTTTTAAAGGAGTCCATGTGATTAAAAACACACCACTTTGGTTTAAAAGTTCACATTTGGCAGGAGTAAAAGTAGTTGCATCTGCTGTTCTAGTCATAAAAAAGTTAAGCAAGTAGAAAGCTTTCAAACATTTGCATAAATTACCCTTTCAAACTGCAACCCAAAATGAATCCATGTAAAAATGACCAAGAGCAGAGCAGCAGATCGTTTTCTAGCCATCTACTCCTGTGTCTCTTGTTTCAACCTCGCATTATTCAGCACACTCAGATATGATCAGCTCATAAACATTTATATCCGGCTTTTAAATCAGACACCGCCGGCAGTCATTTTCCTTGTAAAATAGCGGTAAATGTGTATTTAACCTCCATTAGACCCCATCTCCTCCCACATATATTAACTTGTTTGCATTCACCGACAGATTACAGTCTGTGCCCGACATGCAGCGGTAACTCTGCATGCTGACGTCGTCCTCTGCAGCTCCGCTACAACTCTGATGCCAAAAAACATCAACGCTGACATTACCAATTCAATATCCCGCTCATAAAGACGGCTAATTGGTGGAACAGTGTGGTTCCTGAATCGACGGGTGGGCTGAAATTTTTATTTCTGAATGAGAGAGGGGGAAAAAATAAAGCATAAATGAAGAGGAGGATGACCTTCAGAGCAGCTGCTCTTTTACCAAAGGTAAAACATTAGCTGTTAATACTCATCAATCTGCACGCAGTGTGGCTAATGAGAGGCCGAAGGATGCCAATTAAGGACAATTTAGGATGTTTACTCAGAAATTTTACCCTTAAACCGCCAAGCAGTGTCTCGGCAGTGACTCCTTATTAAGATTTTTCCAAAATAAAGTTTTGCAGATTTAGTGTGGTGGCTTTGTTGTCTCTCGTTTGTCTTTTAACTTTTACATGCATATGTCAAAATAATTAAAATCAAGAATAGAGACTAAGGATGTACCGTTTATATAATGTCACTGGTGCCTGATAAATGCATTCAGACCTTATACCCTTAGACTCACAGTCATCACCGCCCTGCATGTTTTAGATGTGTTCCCACTGCAGAACAACTGATTCAAATCATTGCAGAAACCTGTTATTCACCAATTCATATAAGCCAGGTGTGTAGCAGCAGGGAAACACCTGAACCATGCAGGACACGCGGCCCCTCATGACCGGGGTCAGGGACCTCTGGCTTAGAGCGATCCTATCCAACCAATGAAAGAGCTCAGTGGGAGAAACTAAATATATCACAAAGGAAGTTGGTGATAAATAATAAAGCATGCAGTGTGCCATATTAGAACTTGAAATCACCCTGGCTGAAAAAATGAATCTTAATTCCTCAATCTGTTATTGCAAAACTGGTTATCAGCTTCCTAAATGTCAAGATTAAATCCTCTTTTTTATTGTTTTTTTGCCTAAATCTTTACAACTAAAGACACAAATGAGAACTGAGAAAATAATATGGCAAAAATCAACCATCTATATTATATTGATATTCTGCTTCACTTGTGAGGATCTCTTTTGGTCTCAGTGTTCAAATAAAACACAAAATGAGCTTCATGAGGGGAGGTCCTGGGTCCTTGCTCAACAGATTTCATCTTTTTGGCTGCTGAGCCAGGAGGTGCAGAAGTCATCCACCTCATTAGCAAAATGATCAAAACTCTCCAGCCTCAGGCCACCAACCTGCCAACGAGAGCGAAGATGCTGTGGCAGGAATATTCCCAGTGAAGCAAACTGGTCAGAGAGCAAAACATAGTTGGATGATTTACAATTATAAAATATTAAATAAAACGATATTAAACGTGACACGACGTCAGGGCTTTTTATTTCAGAAAAGTCAAAGAAGATATTCCCGAAATCCCATCCGAGAGACACCGTTTGACTATATGAGTAATAACAAATATTGATCGGTTCAGTGATTGGTCCTTTCGGGAGACTAAAATCCCCCTGCGGATGAATCATTGATGAGCATAAACGCCGCTCGCAGCTGTGCGCCGCCAGGTACCTGGAACCAGAACAAGAGGATTTCTGGACTCAAAGCACCTCTGCTGAGCTGAGAGGGGACCAAACCCACACACAGACACAACCCGGATCAGTGAGACCCGTCACTGAGAATCCACCTTAGCGGAAGACAAAGACATCCACCCAAAACGTCCGCGCCGATCCCGCCGTTAGGGGTGTCTGAACGCACCATTTTCACGGGATTTACCTCCCAGACGCGCATCCAGAGCCCCCAGCCTCACCGTGTCAACAGACGGGATGACACCGAAGTTGAACCGTGACTGAAGGTGCGTGGCTCCTGCAGATGCGCGTGTTTGAGGGAGTTTCATCAGTGCAGCTGCGCGTGCTCACGTCCAGCTGACTGGCAGCTATCAGTCAATCACAGGTGTGACACGCGCACGCGCTTCGCGAGAAAACCACGAGCCTGAACAAAGGTCACAAGAAAACAACTTGATCTGTTTATCGCACAGATACGCACTCTATGAAACTGCTCTCAGGCGTGAACGCGCGCACGCACACATTGTTCACTGTTCATCAGGAAAAAGATCCATAAAAACAAGTAGAAACGCACCTTTCAGCCTGCAAAGACTCCGTAGAGGCTTAGTCCGTCCAGCCGGAACATTCACATTAATCCACAGCCGCTCCGCTTATTTCCAAAATCAAACCGGGACCGAGCCGGTAAGAGGATCCTTTCCCAGGCAGCACCGAGAGGTTCGTGCGAATAAATCCACCAAGAGAGCCGGCTCACGCGGAGACAGAGCCGGGATGAGGTGCGCCAACTCCGGGTCAAACGACACAATGAGGCGTTTCTCAGCAGCCCAGCGTCTCCAGGCCCCCGGACCACGCCCTCCTCATTATCATAATGGATTGACTGGAGCCAATCAGAGAGCGGGACTCGGTGTGCCTCTCGTTCAATTTAAAGTCGCTATGAATCGCACCGATTATCCACAATAAGAGTCGTAACTTCTTCAAATATCTGATACATTAATTCAATTGAAATTATTTTTCTACTGAGTTTCTAAATTTGAATTTCTGAATCTGTGGTGGAAGTCTTGAATGATGTGATGCCAAATAATCATAAACAAATATGACAATGAAGTAAAGCAATACACTAAATATGCGTTGACTTATTTCTGCTCTGCATCCCCAGAACCAGAACCGAACATGGAGAAGCAGCATTCAGCTTCTATGCTCCACAAATCTGGAACAAACTTCCAGAAAACTGCAATACACCCGAAACACTGAATGCCTTTTAAACCTCGATTAAAAACTCACCAGTTTATAGATGCTTTTGAAACATAATCAATGACACATTAATCGACAATCTGATTAATGTTTAATGAGATTAACCTTGATTAAATGTTGAAGATTTGACAAACTTTAAAGCAAATGCAGAGATATGTCTTAAAGTACTCTAATATGGATTAATTTACAATCTGATGTGTAACAATGGCAGTTGACAAAACATAATGTTTCAACTGTTCAGTGTTTTTTCACTTTGTATTTTTTGTGTTTTTATGACATAAAGCACTTTGAAAGGCCTTGTGGCTGAAATGTGATGTGATGAAAAACAATTTCATTTGATTTTGACTCATGCAAAATTCTTCATTATTCTATTAATGTTTTATGCAATGTGCACAAACGGTCTACTACAAAAATTAAATTATAAATCCTGGCTTGATATCAACTTTTGAACATTAAGCTTTGAAATAGTATCAAATCATGCAGAACAATAAATTTGACAAACTTTAAAGCAAATGCGGAGACTGATGTCTCTAATATGGATTAATAATGAACTGTCTTTATTGCTCTGTACATACATACCACATGGGGTTTGTATGTAAACCCCAAGATAAGTGGATGAAGAGCGAATTTAAAAGGAATGACGCTTGGAACGAAGAACAGTTGAGTCTAATTAACTAAGTGTTTTGATGCAGAGCATGACTGCAGGAGCAGAGGGAAAACAAGCTACTGATAAAGAATGAACACCTTGGGAATCACTTTAATAACCAACTAAACACAAGAAAACACAGCAGACACGACCAAACTCTAAGATAATCAGACAAGTATGAACAGAATAACAAAACTAAAAACCGGATCATTCATAAAGATAAAACTTAATCCAGCAAACAACTGTAATTTAAGCTGCTTATTCTTTGTTTAAATGCGTCTAAAACTAATGGATTATTTCTCAAAACACTTAACCTCATGAATCAAAATATGTGTCGTCTTCATCTGAGTATGTGAATATCACAATAAGCTGTGGCAAAATGGAAATACAATAAATTCTTAAAACGAGTTTATTTTGCATTAAATGTTTTCTCAAGTATAATCAATAAAACAGCTTATTGATACAGAATCCTGGTCAAGATATCATAATCCATAAGAAACCCAGGGTTTCTAATTCTAATTAGGATGAACAAAAATCATCCTAAAGCTAATTTAAATCTTTTGACAAGACAGTTAAATACTTCTGAGAATGCAGTGTGGTCAGAAAAAAACAAAATTGTACAGTTCAAATGTCATTTGTTTAGAGGAGAGGCAGCACATCACCTCAAATAAACCACAGCAACGATGGAGTCTGGAGTGGAAACAAGGTGGAAAACTTTGACCATAATGTTGAACTTTATGGAATTAAATAAAGGCTGAATAGAGACATTTTTGGTAGGAGTCTGAAGGTTGTTGGTGATTTTAAAACAAATAAGAGTCTAAACAAAGCCATGGAAATTCTTGTTTTACTTTTTTGCACACTTGTCTTTGTGGGGGTAGAGATGCAGTTACAGAAATAAAGGCTGAGGTGCTCATTAAATATTTTCTCCGCTGTACACTTAAGGTCTGAGTTGTGGAAAAGTGAGACATCTAATTTCTACAGCGCTGGCTGGAAATGTAACTACTGAAACTGGTATCAGTAAAAAGAAGAGGCTTGTCTACTCCAGAGTGCGTCCCACTGTTGTAAAATGATTTCCTGAAGGAAACTTCAATTAAATTTCCGGCTCACAAACTGAATTTATTTCTCAGCAGGATAATTAGAGTCAAGTAAAAAAAAAAAAAGAAAACTGAAGGAGGTACTGCAAATGCAGCACCTAGATTAGAAAGCAAATCCCCTCTGCTGCATCTCTGTCCATATATCTGTCTGTCCTTTGGCAGATCCTCCTCTTCCTCCCTCCCAACTCTCTGTTTATGAAAAACAACAAATTAAAGGATATGAGAGCTGCCAATATCTGGGGAAATAAGTTTCCAGTTGTGCTTTGTGTTAATGTTCCTGTGTGCCTGATTAAACTGCAATCTCTGCATGTTTACTCCGTCCTCCCTCCCAAACACAACACTCGCCCACATTTCCACTGACAAGCAGGGAAGCAGGAAGCAGCAGGAGGTCCAGGTAATTCAGAAGCTCTCTTCAGTCGCAGCAGAGGAAGATTTGAGATCAACCATCTCCACAGCTGTGTTACAGATGCAAACAACAACCATCAGTCTTCTGATGGGTCCAAAACGTCTCTAAATTGTGTTTCAAACCTAGTTGTGTGGTTTGTCGTCGTGATTTCTCAGAAATATTTTGCAACAAGGTGCAAAATCTAAAAAAATAAATGAAAATTAATGGGAAAAACCGAGAATATCAGCCAACTGAATTCGATGTACTTCAAACAAATTTCAGTCAACACTCCTCTTGGATCTAGCGGATGTTGTAATTTGTAAAGTTATATGTTGCATTTCAGGGAAAGAGCCACGGCATAGCTGCCTGACGCCTGATCAGAACTGTAGATTGGGGCACCTATATGCAGTCCAAATATTAAACACCAGCTTGAGGAGGGATTTCTCACCACGACCCAAAAGAATGAAATGCATGACATAAATAAATGCATGAGCGTTTCCATTTCTCCCTGCCACTTCGGCAGCTTTTAGTCGTCGCTCTCGTCGGAATAGAATCAATAAATCAGACACGTTCAACCCCTCTGGGCTCCAACACAGACACTAAATCACATCAGCAAATGTCATAAAACACACACTTTGAATGAGTTTCATAAAGGGGAGCCTTCATTGAATCGTGGGAGCGTTCCCGCCGGAGCCACACAGAGTTAAAGACGGAAGAAATGCATCAACCTCTGAGCCAAAACAGCATTTCTGTTTATTCGTCGTGTTTCTTGTGTCGCATGGAAAGAGAGATCAGAACAACCGGGCTATGGCTACGAGGCAAAAACCTAGCAACTTCTGAAAAAGAGCAGGAGATGTGGCTCATATGGCACTCTATCAATATTAATGTGGACATCTAAACCACACACTGATCCACAGGGTGAGGGAACAGCTGCTGAGCTTATAACTTGATGGTCGGTAGACCTCATGAAACGCAACATCTGAGAAACTTTGCTGGAAAAAGAGTATTATTTTAAAGCTGATGTTTCTATGTTTTGTAAAAACATATATATATATATATATATTTTAAAGAAGCAGGATAAAAACTGAGGTATAAATTTGTGTCATGGAAAATTTGCTGTGATGTTAGAAATATGTAGAAATACCATCCAATCTTATTAAAATTTGGAAGGTTTTCTCATCTCCAATTTGTTTTAGGTGTAAAATCTATTTCTTGTGGTTCTTGTTCATGTTTGGGTCAGTTCGCTCCTACATGCCTTGATAGATTTTGACCTTTGATGAAACTAAAGCAGCTCCAAGAAACATCCTGCTGGACCACATTTATTTGATTCACACAACCACATTAACTGTGAGTGAAATAGAGAAACTTACATGAAATCATCAGTTGTCAAAGTGGGTAGAAAACGTCCCCCTCACAAGTATTAATTAATGCACATTCAGAGAGAAACGTCATATTAGACAGCTTCGCTTCACACTAGAAAAAGTTACAGAACGATAAAAAACTACAGGTAGGAAATGATGCAGGGTTGAAATGACCAGCACCGTTTCCAGCAGGGTGGGAACTTTTGCTGCTTCATTTGTTACCTGCTGCTGCTGCTGCTGCTCTGGGCGTCTGATAGGGATGCCTCCCAGGTGCCTCCCTCTGGAGCTTTGCCTGGTATGACCCAATTGGACGTGAGCCCAGGGCAGACTCCGGGTTTCCCTCCAGTACCTGTTCTGCCCAGAACCTGATGATACATAACGCTCAAATTACTAGATATAACCTTCATTCCTTAATTCTTTATATTAAAAATGTCACCTTCTTTGCCAACAGTCAAAGCCGGAGATCACTCTGGCAATGTCTGGTTTCTGTGGGATCTCCATTATGGCACACAGGAAGTTAGAATTTATTCTTAGCGTAATAATCTTATTCTAGGGGTTTTTTTTCCAAGTGTAAAACTGTTGAAACTACTCAGGATTTATTTTAGATTTTGGTTTCAAAAACGCTTCCTCTATATTGATTAATGATTGTGTTTCTTTTCCATTTTGTTTTACTGATTTCTTATATTTAAGTATTTGTGTGTATAATATTCATAGATTCTACATAAATCTATAAAGTTAAATCCAGATAAGTTGCTGCTGCCCATTCGTTCCCAACTCAATGTTTACACTCGCACATGAAAATGGCTGCAAACAGATGTGCAATTATACAATTGTGCATCTTTGAAAAACAGAAATTGGGCCTGCAGCACAATCAACAACAATACAACAAGCGGTTTCTGAATGGGGAGTCAACCACAAAACACTTGTCTTTCCAGCAGCCATTGTACAGCGCATACCGCGGTAAAACCAGCTGTCAAAATATGCTGGGACTCAGATTTGGTGACAGGCTGGGCTTCAGCATGGCTGCTTGGTAACAGGTTGGGCTTTC